CCATGGCGAAACCTAATCTCTACTAAAAATACAAAAATTAGCCGGGCATGGTAGCACATGCCTGTAGTCGCAGGTACTCAGGAGACTGAGGCAAGAGAATCACTTGGACCTGGGAGGCAGGGGTTGCAGTGAGCCATAGCCTGGACAACAAAGAGAGACCCTGTCTCAAAAAATAAAAATAAAAAATCCTAACTTTGTCTGAGAAATGTGATCATTTCGCAACCAGTCCCAAAGTTTGATGACCACCACTGATGACGCACATTTCTCCTTAGTCTCACACCGATCATTTGGGCTCACACTTAATTTCCTTAAACCACTCGCTAAACTTGCAGATGCAATTGGAGTCAGTCTTCTCTCCACAAGAACCCTTTATGTGCCTGCAAGCAGCAGTCACACCAACCTCTGCCTTCCGGGATGCTTCCTGCTCCCAAACCTGTACTTTGTAGGGGCCCCACAGAGCTCATGACATGCTCTAGTGGGAAGAGCTGCTCAAGAGGCAAGTGGCTCTTGCCATAAAAAAAATGGGCCGGGCACGGTGGCTCACGCCTGTAATCCCAGCACTTTGGGAGGCCGAGGCGGGTGGATCACAAGGTCAAGAGATCGAGACCATCCTGGTCAAAATGGTGAAACCCTGTCTCTACTAAAAATACAAAAACTTAGCTGGGCACGGTGGCGCGTGCCTGTAATCCCAGCTACTCAGGAGGCTGAGGCAGGAGAATTGCCTGAACCCAGGAGGCGGAGGTTGCAGTGAGCCAAGATCACGCCATTGCACTCCAGCCTGGGCAACAATAGCAAAACTCGGTCTCAAAAAAAGAAAAAAAAAATGAATCAGGAGCACAAGTTAACACAAGAATCCTGCAGTTCAAACAATTACACAAAGAATACATTCTGATAATTACAGAGCTAAAATTGGATCCACTTTGAAAATCCCTTCCTTTCTCCCAAGAAAGCTGAGGAGGTGGTTTAACAACAAGCAGCTGCTGAGATGCATCACATTCTAGGGTGTTTAGGAGGCTAGTTCCAAGAAATTCTTGGAAGGTACAGTTCCCAGAAGGTGGTGCTGCTAACTAGTCCCATTAACCCGCCCCGCCACCCCAAACATGTGCTCACAGCTAGTGAATCGGAACTCAGAAGCCCATGCAAAATGAGAGAGACAGGAGGGAGGAGGCCCAGGCCAGCCCACCTCGTGATGCCGCTCAAACATTAAATGGCATTTACCTAAGAAAATGAGATTGGATGCTGAGAGGGGGTGCAGCCAGCCAAGGATTATCTTGACCAGCTTTGGCACCAACGGTGTGCATAGGGATGTTATAAAGGGTTTTAGGTAGGAGGTAAGGGTTAGAATGATAATAATATTTAATATGCATCGCATGCTTATGAGCCAGATATATATTATCTCACTTAATTCTCACACGCCTCTGTGAGCACGGTACTGCTCATTTTACCCCAGTTTAGTCACACCGAGGCACACACTGTGGGTTACATAAATAATAAGGGCAGAGGCAGGATTTGGAAGTAGAAGTTTGCATACTCACTTTTATATTTGGAAGGTTACAAATATAAAGATCCCAGAATTGGCTGAGAGCAGATATTAGGACCATTGAAATACAGACTACAAGGGGGCAGTGGGTATAAGCATTACAGAAGAAAGTCAGACAGAAGAAACTATACGTTAGAGATCCTCTGTGTCAATAACAAATACAAATATTAAACTCAATTTTTAAATACAAATCTTATCTAAGGAGTAAATGTAATAAAATATGTAAATTTTGTACTATATCATGGACACTACTGAGATGAAGAAATGGAAAGATTATTGCCTAAGCCAGTGTTCCCAAGAAGGAGGATTTGGATGACAGAAGTGCCAGAAAGTTGGCACTTATTCACTTAGTAAATACTCAGCACCTTCAACGGGCTATGTGTTGCTCTACATTCTATGTCATATGACATGATGGTGCAGCTTAAACACAGCTGCTGACCTTCCAGAACTGGCATTCTAGTGAGAGGAGACATACCTGCATGCCCAGGACCAAAATGCCTTTGCAAGAATAGTGTTACCAACGTAAGCTACATAACACGTGAGCTACAAGACCTCACGGGCTAGACAAGAGCATCTATAATTTGAAATTACATTCAGAAATAAATGATGTTGAAATCATCCTCATAAAGTTAATTTTAAAAATGGCTTAGTTTTTAATAAAAGCATAAGCTTTAAACAGAAGTATAATAAGCATTAGCCAGCTTCCCCTACAGCCCACCTCCTTAGAGCCACTTACTGCTTAAAAGTCCCATTGCCTCTGTCACAGGCCCTAACTTCTATAGATAACATCTTTAACATTAAAAAAGAAAACTCAAGTTTCCCATTTGAGATATTTTCTAGATCCTGATTCTACCAGGCCCACTGACACCAGCCAGTCTGTGAACTCCCTCCAAGGAACTGACTCAGTACAAGAACGCAGTTTCTACATCCTTATGATTCTTCTCTCCCGTGCAACCCCCAGTTCTTCAGCCCACCACCAACCAAAATTCCCTTTAAAATCCCAGCCCAAAACTTCTCAAGGAGGCAGATTTGCGATTCCCTGGTGCCTCCTTGTTTGGCTGCCATACAATTATTAAGCTCTTTCTCTGCTGCAACTCCTGCTGTCTCAGTGTATTGGTCTGTTACCATGCAAGCGTGCAAAACTGGTGGTCCTGGTACAAAGCTGATGGTCCTGTAACAATCATGACATCACTGAAAACAATCTCAGGTATCCAGGGCACACAGAAGAACTAACAACCAATTGTTAACAGTAAATGTGCTTAGGGCAAGAGGACTGGAGAAGGAAAAAGATTCCACAAATAAAGAAAGAAGGCTGGGCTGGTTTAGTGGCTCATGCCTGTAATTCCAGCATTTTGAGAGGCCAAGGTGGTAGGATCACTTGAAGCCAGGAGTTAGAGACCAGCCTGGACAACAAAGCAAGAACCCATCTCTATAAAAAATAAAAAAGTCTGCCAGGCATGGTGGTGCATGCCTGTAGTTCCAGCTACTCAGGAGGCTGAGGCAGGAAAATCTCTTGAGCCCAGGGACTCAAGGCTGAGTTACGATTGCACCCCTGCACTCCAGCCTAGGTGGCAGAACAAGACCCTGTCTCAAATGAATAAAGTTGTAGATACATGGCTCATTTCTGCCTTGAATTAGTGAAGAGGTGCTGGCTACTCCAGTGCCACTCCCCATGGGAGCCAGAAAACTGTCAGGCTGCAGAAGGCGTGACCGTGCAATTACAACACCTTGTTGAAGTCAGTATTTCATGTCCTCTGATGTCTGTCTTTTCTCCCTGGCATTTTCCATAACCAAGAGCAGCAACTACATTTGACTTCCCAGAAGATGCAGTAGAGGCAGTGGCATGAAAGAAAGGAGCATGTACAAATGAAAGGGTCAAAAGGCAGGAAAATGTACCTAGAGTACAATGTTTCTTGGAGCAAAATGTCTCAGTTTATTGTTTAAAGAACCTTATGCAAATGATATGCAAATTTGCAAACAGTAATGCTAATTCTTGCATAGTGTGCTTACTTTCATACCCTTGACTCTGACCTTTAAAAGTCCAGGGCTGCAAGGCTGTGGACCTTGGCCATTGCCTGCTACCTGACCAGAGTCAGTCGTCAAGAAGTATAAAAGGGTCAGCAGGGCTAAAAGGTGATGGATACAGAACATTGTTCTGCCTGAGAACACAGGATGGTATATTCAGGATGGAAGAAAAAGGGGCAACCGAGTCTGAAAGGCAAAACTTTGATTTTGTTTTGATCCATTCTATGCCACTTAGGTGTCAAGTCTTAAAGAACAAATCAGAGACTATAAAAGCACTGGCTGGGGCAGGTTATGAGTATCTAAGATATTATCTGGAAAAATAATGTATAAATTTATGAATTCATGTGTTATTTTCCTAATAAGTCTTTATTCCTTGGATTATAAATATTTGCATATATAAGTTTTATCTGAGAATATTTCCCTGCTGTATCATACAAGATAGGGGATTCTAACACACTGACCTTCTTAGAAGATATTAAAGGACAAGTAATTAGCCAGAAAAATAACTGGCTTCTTGATTAAGCTCTCTCTCAATGAAAGGTATCATTATTGAAATACCAGAAAAAACTTGAAAAGCTTACAAAACAGTTTCCGCTCCATCAATGCCGGCATGACATTTTATTTCTGTCCCATTCATTTAAGGCTCAGAAACTCCTTTTGGGCTAACGTAGCTTTCTTATGGCCTGTGTTCACCCACTCTGTATAGAGTTTAGGGATGTCCTTTGGTTATTTACCAGAAAATTGCCATTCTCCATATTTTGCTGCAAAAAGCACACACTTTCTTGACTGGAAAAAGACACAGGGGCCCCCAGCTATGGCCCAGAGCTGTGCTAAATACCAAGCTTGAATTGTGTGTGCCTACATGCGCTTCCTGAATGAGTCTAGGGAAACTGTAACATACTACCCATCCATTCAGAGCAACTCTCTGAATGACGTGACTCTGCCTTCAATAACACCTCCTCATCCCACCCATCCAGCATTCTCAATGATGCTGACAGTCAAATTGCAAAGCTGAGTGACAGGTTGAAATCTCAACGGGAACCCAGCATCTAGTTAAAAATTCCCAAGGTCAGCAGGGAGTGTTCCTGAGCCCAGCACCAGACGGGAACAAAGGCCCTGTGGCAACAGCAGCTGGAAATGCCATCCATCATCATGCAAAGATAAAGAGTGTCTAACTCCAACCACAGGGCACTTGCAAATATGCAGGGCTGTCCTGACACTTTGATAGATGGCTCCTCCTTTAATTAGCTCCTCCTGTCTCTGGAGGTTTCCAAAGAACTGATCGCTTGCTCCCACCTCCCCTTTCCCTGCCACCATTTGCCTTCCTGAGTGGACAGGACTGGAGTAGGCACTGAACCTCACCAGCCTCTTTCACTGTGTGCCCACCCACCACCACATGACTCTCCATCCTCCGTCATGAAGCTGCCACACTGACCTTTCGCAGAAGGAAGCAGATGCGCTCGATGTTCCTCAGCCGCTCCCTCTATCAGGAGGCATAAGAAAGAAACGAGAGGGCAGGTTAGGGGTTCTGCTAAAACAGCATGAGAAGGCCTCGCAATCAGCCCCAATAGTGGACAGAATCCACCAGAGACCCCTGCTAGGCACATGGCTAGCATGGTCCCACCTACTGACTTTTCCTAACAGTTTCTGACTTTCTTCCCTCTACCTTGTCATGGTCATTTGCTCTTAACAGAACTGTCCCAGCAAACCATATGGCCCCATCTTCCCTCTCAGTCCAACATGGATTTCTATTCTTTTACCTACAGTCAAGTCTCTCTCAGCTGCCATGTACACATAAGGTAGTCAAACTGCAGAATGGTACCTCATGTTCATGGAATATCCTAAAGCCTACAGCCAGCCCTCCCAGGAGGACTTCCCACTTGGGTCTCAAAGAGCGTATGTGCCCTCATTATATCTAATGTAGACAAGTTATCTGCCTGCTGGTTTTGTGTTTCTAAAGTGAGTCTATTTGGAAGAAGCAATCTCCCACTAAATTAGACACCAGTCATGCCCCCAGGCTACGGCTTTTTAAGAAGTTCAGGTCCATCAAGGGTTGGCTCACTGCGAAGGGAAGGTAAGATGCTGGCCTGTGGCTGGGCAGGAGGGGATGCCCACAACCTGCACTAAATGCCGTTGCCTCCCTTTTCCTTCAGTGACTTTAATGATTTGCAAAGCCACACTGAACACAGCTGTGGCATCACCCGGTGCTTCATTACTGAGGCAATTTGGTTGCTGTAGATGGAATGGTAATGAGATTCCTTGTGAATCCAGAAAGGAGAGGTGGCTTGGACACTTCATTTCCCTAATTAAATCATAAATATAGTGATTCCTGTGCCTCCTGTAACCCCAGAGGAAGGAGCCCACATCAGGGCATATTAGTGTCCACATGGCTAGCAAGACACATCGCATGCTCCTCACACACGTGTGCACACACACTAGCAAGACACATCACATGCTCCTCACACACGTGTGCACACACACTAGCAAGACACATCGCATGCTCCTCACACACGTGTGCACACACACTAGCAAGACACATCACATGCTCCTCACACACGTGTGCACACACACTAGCAAGACACCGCATGCTCCTCACACACGTGTGCACACACACTAGCAAGACACATCGCATGCTCTTCACACACGTGTGCACACACACTAGCAAGACACATCACATGCTCCTCACACGTGTGCACACACACTAGCAAGACACATTGCATGCTCCTCACACACGTGTGCACACACACTAGCACACACACTAGCAAGACACATCGCATGCTCCTCACACACGTGTGCATACACTAGCACACACACTAGCAAGACACATTGCATGCTCCTCACACACGTGTGCACACACAAGCACACACACTAGCAAGACACATTGCATGCTCCTCACACACGTGTGCACACACAAGCACACATACTAGCAAGACACATTGCATGCTCCTCACACATGTGTGCACACAAAAGCACACACACTAGCAAGACACATTGCATACTCCTCACACACATGTGCCCACACAAGCACACACACTTATGTGCACACACACATGAAAGGAGATGCTGCAAGACACACACTAGCTCCTTCTCCAGGAGGTCAGAGGCCCTGAAGGACAACATCTACGATTAATTTAAAGTAATACTGAATGCCCAGCTGGTAAAAGGGAGGGAAAACATGAGAAATGAGGAGAAAAACAGAGCATTCCTCCTCCTCTCCACCCCAGAGGGTCCAACAATATTAGGAGCTTCAGGGCATCTTAAATCCAAATGGGCCTCATGCCCTCATTGAGAGACACATCATACGGATCAGCAATTATTTGTGACACACAAGTCCTTCCAGGGCTGGAGTCACCAATCAGTGAAGTAGCTTTCTTAAGCCACCTGAGTCTGAAATGCTGCTCTGGGGGCTCTACAGAGGTCTAAGAGCCTGCAGAAGAGTTAAATGAGGCATCCGAAGCATTTAACTTCCTGCCAGGGAGTAACATCATAAAAACTGGGAAAATGTGTCTAGCACGTTTCCATTTAGGGTTCTTACTTTTGTTTTTGTTTTAAATATGAGACAAAAGTCTTTTCCCCAGGGGCATCTAGAGTCTCTACTCTGCCCATGAGCTTCATAGGGCGCAAGCTCCCTAATCATTAACTAATTAGAACTGTGCCTTTAACAATAGGAGTAAAAAAAGAGAATTGTGATTTAATTTCTATGCCACCAGTTCAATATTCATCCAATGTTTAATCAACAAATATCTATGGGGCACCTACTATGTGCAAACGCTATTCCTGCACTGGCCTTTCACAGAAGCGCCGTAGAGAGCATATACTAGTCCTGATTTTCTTTATTCTGTCTAATTTTCCTTATTCTTCACCAAGGCAAGCTGGAAAAGGTTCCACAAAAAATATTTCATGGTTTCACCAATCACGTGCAACCCAGCATGGAATCTGCATGATATAATTTAGCGGCAGGACAAATTCCTTCCCTTGCATTTGCCCTGGAATCATACAAGAAAGCTTTGGGTGTCTAAGTGAGCTGCCTATTAATTTGAGCCCAAACAATTAGAAAGAAAGCTCTTGTCTTCCCTGGCATTTCTACATGAAAGTATCTCTCTCTCAGACTAGAGCCACTCACTGCGCCTGGTAGATATTGACAGGCCAGGTGTGTACTGTTGGTGCCAAACACAAAAACACCCAGAAAGACATGAGACCCAGAGTGAGACCTTTCAGGCCCAACAGATCCAAATTGTCCCAGGTGCAGGTGAGGCTGGTAGGTGGAAGCAAAATAGATTTTAATATTTATAAGTTCATGAAATACAGAAAGTTTTCAAGTAGATCTTGCAGGTTCTTTAAACTTGCATCAAAACTTGCTTTGAAAGACTCTGGCTCTATTTCACAGAATCAAAAAATACACCAAAGCTGACCTCAGATATTATAAAATCAGGTCTCTTAAAGAGACAACATAGGGGAGGGGGTAGGATGGCAGGCTTTGGAGACTGGCAAACCTGGGTTCAAGTCCTGGCTTCACCACTCATGAGCTCTGAATCCCTGCACAAAAGAGTGCATTTTGTGGTTTATAAATTGGGTTAATGATGCCTGTCTCACAGCATTATTGTGAGGATTACAGATTATGTATATGAAGTTCCTAGCACATAGTAAAAACTCAAAAAAGTTACAACTCCAGTAACAGCTCTCGACTTTCTAGAAGGGGACCCTGAAGCCTGGTTCTTCCATACGGCCTTTTGGTACCTCCCTAAAAGCATATCCTTCTTCATGGGGCCTGCAGCGAAGAAGAGACCTCTTTGTCCCTGCTACTTAAGAACCACGCCATAAACATTCCAGGCTGAGATGGTACCGTGATAGCAGAGCCTGTTGTTCTCTCTACAACTTCTGGCTGAAAAGGTCAACAAAGCTATTCAAATAGGCAAAAAAATTGCCTTCGTGCTGGAAAGCATGGCCTGGAAGGAACTTCAGCTACACACAGAACCAGTGGATTTAGACTGAGAAACACACTTGAATGAACTGTGTGTGCCCCACCCTTCAAACTCAGAAGTGCTGGTCTGGAGTAAGTTTGGAAAAGGCTCTGTCCACATACAGGGTTGGTCCCTGGCTCTAGACATGGACTGCACTGACCAGAGAAACACACACCCAAAACACCCACCCCCACCTAGCATCCATTCAGAAGCTCCCAGTCAGAGGCACAGCCAGGGCACAGGGGTAGGGTGGCATGTGGGGCCTGCCAAGCCAGAAAAGCAGGAAGACACCAGGAGCCACACATGCCGGGGCAGGTGGCCTTTAACATCCTGAACCCAGACCAGAGCAATCAGACTGCGCCAAATTCTCCAGGCAGAGGAGAGCTGACCTCAGGCCCACAGAACCACCTGAGATGAATGCTGGCTGGGCGATAGATATGGGGCCAGGGGCTTTGTGCATCAACCCACCCTCCATATCTCCATCTGAGAAACCTGGTGCCCGAGTGGAGAGTGCAGCACGGGACATCCCTTTATGGTGCTCATGTGCCTGCAAGCATGCTGGCCAACATGGAGCCTCTTTCCTTGTTTAAAGATGATTAATCAAAACACATGAGCACCATGCTTTGAGGACTCAAGAGCCACAGCACAGTAGACAATTTCCCTGGGTTACTGGGACAGTCACACCTGATTTGCAAGAGACCTCAGCACACTTCAGATGTGAGAAGGTTCCTTCACAACCTTGAGCCAGGTGGGGAGGCACAGTGGAGCAAGAATGTTCTTTATGCACTCAAATCACTCACATTCTCACCCTCTTTCCCAGGCCCTGGGTAGCTTGGGGTGACAGCACCTTCCCATCACCAGTATCCACTACTTACCGCATGAACAGGGTTGCATTGGTCTATGGGGCTCTTAAAATCCGTCCTTAACTCATCAAAGGCAATTATCTGAAACAGAATACAGAGATTTGAGGTGTTAGTGCACATATGGTCAATACACCATGTCCAACACCTCTGTGGATTTGCTTCCAAAGAGTACAAGAAAAAGGAAGAGGCTGTAGATGGCACGAGATTGGCCAGCAGCTGGTGACCGTTGAAGCTGGCAATAAGCACATGGGGTTGATTATATTCTTCTGTCTACTGTGTATGCTTAAAATTGTCCTCAGTAAGGTTTTTTAAGTATTCTGTGCTTTACAAAGATGTAGAGAAAGTTCACCATGCTGAGAGCATGTTGGGATTTAGATAAAAGCACAAAAAAATTAAAACTTCAAACCACTACTTTTAGCTCCTTTCCTTCCAGGAAGGGTTATTTACTTTTCATTTGTGTATGTGGGCAGAAACGGTGATTGGAAGTAAAACAGATAGAAGTCAGGTGAGAGGGAAAAGAGAAAAATAGGGTAGTAGAGTTGACAGTTACAGAAATAACCAATCTCTAGATGTCCACAGGCCTGGACAGGAGGCTCTGGGCAGTCAGCGCTTCACAGCACAGTCCTTTGAACTTCGGTCCTAAGTTCATTTTGGACGAAGACTCAGAACTCCCCAGAGAGCAAGTTTCCCCATAAGCCCGGAGGAAAGAATGTTGGAGAGGACCACTCCAGTCACAGAACGAGGCATGGCCCGTCCACAGAAACACGTAAGCGACAGTGAAGGTTCGCAAGCCCACACTCTAACCGCAGCTACCTGGTCTACTGCAGGAAGAAGAAATAACAGACAAAGTGGGATTCGGCCAGGGGTGTGTCCTTTCTTAGGGTGCTCGCAGTGAAGTCTCTCCTAATGAAAATAAACAGACATGGCCAGGCACAGTGGCTCATGCCTGTAATCCCAGCACTTTCAGAGGCCAAGGCGAGTGGATCACCTGAAGTCAGGAATTTGAGATCAGCCTGGCCAACATGGTGAAACCCCGTCTCTACTAAAAACACAAAACTTAGCTAGGCTTAGTGGCATATACCTGTAATCCCTGCTACTCAAGAAGCTGAGGCAGGAGAATCGCCTGAACCCAGGAGATGGAGGTTGCAGTGAACTGAGATCGAGCCACTGCACTCCAGCCTGGGTGACAGAGTGAGACCCCAAGAAGACAGACAGAGGACAGAAAGAAGAGAAAGAAAGAGAAAGAGAAGAGGAAGAGAAGAAGAAAGAGAAAGAAAGGGGGGAGGGGAGGGAGGGAACGAAGGAAGGAAGGGAAAGGGGAAGGGAAGGAAAAAGAAAGGAAGAAAAAGAGAAAGAAAAAAACACAAAGAAAGAAAATAGACAGACATAACCAGGAAGGCACATCCCAGGGGTCCCTGAACACTTGGCAGAATTGCCGAAGCAAGGAAGCAAGCTTCCCACCCCCGAATGTCCCCAATCCAGCAACATAGGGCTGAGAGTAAGCAGCAAGTGAGAGAAAACAACTTCCCTCTACAAAGCAAGTAGAATCTTAGAGCAGTCATATGTCATCCTGATTTCAATCCTCCTACAGAATTTGAAGAAAATTTCAGTATAACTTGTATTAAACCAACATATTTTTATATCGTCCCTTGCCAGATCGTTAATTATCCAGCCTGTACTTAAACTCTTTAGTAACAAGAAACTCACCACGTACTGAGGATGCTCACTCCATTTCTGGCTACCTCTAATTAATCACTGCTTTCTTATTAAACTAATATATAACTCCCTGAAGCTTCCACCCACAACCTAAGCCAGGGTCAGCAAACTACAGCCTGAAGACTAAATCCAGCCTGCTACCCATTTTTGTGCAACCTGTGAGCTAAGAATATTTTGTTGTTGGTGTTTTGGAGACAGAGCCTCACTCTGTCAGCCAGGCTACAATGCAGTGGCACAATATTGGCTCACTGCAACCTCTGTCTCCTAGGCTCAAACAATTCTCCTGCCTCAGCCTCCCAAGTAGCTAGGATTACAGGTGTATGTCACCACGCCTGGATAATTTTAGTATTTTTAGTAGAGATGGGGTTTTATGTTTTTAATATTTTTTAAAATAATTAAAATAAACTAAAAGGAAAATATTTGGTGGCATGTGAAAATTAAATTAAAATTCAAGTTTCATTATCCATAGATAAAGGTTTATTGGAATATAGTAGCATCCATTCTTTTATCTATACTGCTTCTGCACAATGGCAGGGATGAGTAGTAGTTACAGGCTGTAAGGCTCACAACACCCAAAATATTTACTATTTTGCCTTTTGTAGAAAAAATCCGCTGACGCCAGCCTATTCTTTCATTTGCCCTCTAGAGCTCTCCTCTCCAATATGATAGCCACTAGCCACGTGTAGCTATTAAAGCTTAAACTTTTAACTAATTAAATTAAAAATTCAGTTCATAGACACATTTTAGTTGTTCAACAACCCTACCTAGTAGCTGTTACACAGCACAGAAAGTTCTACCAGACAGCGCTGCTTTAAAGCACATAGGATGGGTCCAATGACTCTTCCACAAAGAATCCCTTTAAGTACTGTCAGCTACCGTGACCTCAGCAAATCTTTCTTCTTCAAGTTAAATCTCTCCAACCATTGTTTACACAAACTGGCACTAAGCTGCCTCATCATCCTGATTGTCCACCACTGATGTTTCAGGTTGTAAATGTCCATTCTCAAATGTGACTGCCAGTATTAAACACTAGATTCAAGGTGAGGGTGGCTGGTACAGACAGTAAGAATGTCACTCACCTCCTCTGTTCTATGGTCTATGCTTCTTTTAATCCAGCCTGATTGCATTAGCTTTTTTGTGGCCATATCACATTCCTGGCTTTATACTAAATTTGCATTCCCTAAAAACCCTAGGCCTTTTTTCATGTGCTTCAGTTAAACTCAGACCACCTCATTCTGCACAAGTATTGTTGGGTTTAGAGGCCTAAGAGCAGGAACTAATCTTTATCCTGATTAATTTCTCCCTATTCAATCCGGTCTATTGGTCCCATCTTTTGAGACATGACCTATCTCCCAACTATTATGCAAATCCTAATAAACACAATATCCACACCCACATTCACTCTGATATAAATGTAAACCAAGCCAGGACCAAGGGCAGAGCTGTGAGCTCACCATTCCTAGCTCCTGTGAGGCTGACATTGGTTTTCCTGGCACCTATTATCTATCCAGTTATAAAGACAGTTCACTACATTCTGATCCAGTCACTGATAGCAAGTATCTGGATAGCTGCAGAACTCCACAACTGTTAGTGCACCACACACAGGACCCCGGCAAAGAGGCTGGGTGCCCGTGGAGGAAAGGGAGCCAAGGCCCCCCATGGTGGACAACCCCCATCCCCAGTCCTGCCCCAGGGCCTGCATCCCTGTCTGAGTGCAGGGGGGTGGGTCTGGACTGAATAGAACAAATGTAGCTGGAGCTTGAAGTAGGAGAGAGGAGCCAATGGGGAGCTGGAGCTGTTCAGCCAGGCTGAGAGCCAGTAACCCTGCCTCAGCCTACCTCAGTGCCTCACCTGGCGCAGTCAAAGGAGGCCTGAAGAGTGGCTTATGCCTTTGAACTCCATGAGATAAGAGGTCCTTCATGAGTGTTTTCTGATGAAGTGATGGCAGTGCATCCATGAGGAGGGAGGCGTTTAGCCTCCCTGTCCCCAGTATCACTCACCAATGTATCTATCCATTCACCTAACATTTAGCCGGCATCCTTTATACACAGGCACTGGGCTAACCACTGCAGACACAAAACTCAACAAGACTGGTTGCCCGTGATCACCAAGTTCCTAGTCTAGAGGGGACTGCCATGTAGACAGGCTACTGTGCCACAGTGTGATGAGGGCTGCCAAGACGATTGTAAAAACTGCTATCAGGTATTGCCTGCTCACCATGTCAGGTGCTGGGCTACATGCTGCACATGCTTTCTATCATTTAATCCTTTGACACCCAAAGGATTAAATGGGACCAATAATAGTACCTACCTCACTATTGTTGGTCCCATTTCAGAGATGAAGAAACTGAGGCCCAAAGTAGTTAAGTTACTCGCCCAAGATCACTCTTTGGTGCCAAGATCCAAACCAAGGCCTGCCTAACACTTAAAACCTGAGCAATACCATTACATTCTTCTGCCTCCAAGTACATACAGAGAAAAGTAAATAAGGAATCAGAAGACATACAGAAGAATGAACAGCTGTCCCCATGGAACCAAAGCAAAGCTTCCCTGAGGAGGCAGCGTTTTGGCTCTGGGCCGCCTAGCACTAACTCATCAACAGATTCCCAGTCCCAGCCTCCTGACCTGGCTGAGGAGAGAAGCCATGGGCCCTACACTGTAGTCTCATCTTCTGAGTGTGGCAGACTTCCACCTAGTGCTAAGCCTTAGCATCAGCAATGGACTAAGTGTGATAAGTGCGATGAGGTAAGGATGGGCAGATGAGCAGCCTGCACAGTTTAATTCAGCTGCACGCACAGACCGGCCTGTGTGTGTGTCCTACAAGGCTCCATGCACCCTGAGGCCCAGCCACTGACAATACAGGTTTAACTGCTGAACTTTACCAGAACTTCAACTGCTACCAACGATAAGATCACTTCATTTCTCACTCCCGTCTTTAAAACATTTTTACATTTAATGCAGTAAAATTCACTCTTTTTGGTGAAGAGTTCTGTGATTTTTGACAAATGCAGTCATGTGATCACCTCCACAGCCCCTGCCCAGCAACCACTAATCTGTTCTCCATCCCTCTAGTTTTGCCTTCTCCAGAAAGTCACATAAATGGAATCATGGAATATGTAGGCGTCTGAGCCTGCTTTCTTTTGTAAGCATAAGGAAATACGCTGTGTTTAAGTTTAACCCACACCGTTGCCTGTATCAACGGTTTGTTCCTTTTTACTGCCGAGTAGTACTCCATTGTATAGATGAACTACGGTTTATTATCTGCCTGTTAAAGGATATCTGGGTTGTTTCCAGATTTTGACAATTATGAATAAAGTTGCTATAAACATCTACACAAGTGCTTTTATCTAAACACAAGTTTTCAAT